GAAGAGAAAACAAAAGAATACTAAAAAGAAAAAAAAACAAAACAATGGCAACTGATGGCGAATGACGCCCCATAGTGTGCCCAGGTCCCAATAATTGAATAAAAACAAAGCAAAAATAAAACGCAAAACATCAAACATTCGAACAACACTGGTAAACTAATGCCATCAAAGGGATACTGGTATTATATATAAAAATGTTATGTAAATACTTTGGACTGGTTTGTGTGTGTGTGTGTTTGTATGTAAATACTTTGAACTGGCTTCAGTGTGTGTGTTTGTATGAAAATACTTTGAACTGGCTTGTGTTTGTGAGTGTGTGTGTGTGCGTGTGCGTACTTTAGTGTGTCTTTATATGAGTATGTTGTCTTTGTATCATGTGTGTATGTGAGCAGGTGAAAATGTTTGTGGAAATCAGATATACACACCTTTCTCTCTTGTACTCGTCTTCGCAAATGCTCAACTTTACAAAACACTGGCTCAGCACATCAGTTAGTATACAACAGAGGCAAACCTCCCTCACATACACACTTTTTGTCTTTATAAAATGAACACAGAATATGCTGAGAACATTAAAACGACAGAAAGGAAGGTATGACAATTACGAGAATATATATATATATCATATATACAAAAGAAAAACGTGAAATGCAAGGAAATATGTTGGCTATGTACACGAAACAAATTACATTTTGTACACGTCCTATGAGGACCAGCAGCATATCAGAACGAGGTGCCCGTCCAGGTCGGGAAAAAATATTTCTTTTTCTCAGCAAAATAAAGCAAATGAAGACAAACAAAAACAACAACAAAACTAAACAGACAAACCCCCCAAAAATCCCATACAACTAGTACTGTAGTTCTCCTAAAGATTAAAACAAAACAGTATTATATTTGCAAAGAAGTTTGAAGGAGCCAGTAAGTTCAAAGACAGATTTATTTTTTTTGACAGTCAAACAAACAAAACAAAAACAAAAAATCTCAATTTTTCCTTTTACTTTTCCTTTTAAAGTTTTTTGTATGAGCCAAGAGAAAAAAAAAAAAGCAAACATTTAGACTTGCAGTCAAAAGAATTTTATGTTCCCATTTCCTCTCACACTTCAAGTTAACTGTATTTTGATAACTATACAATAAGTGATCAAATGTCTCCAATTTCCAAAAAAAGTGAAACAATTTAGAAAAAAAACCCAACTAAACCACCCCAAAAAACCCCTAGAAACAACAACTAAAATTCAACACAAAACTTAAACTGAACACAAACTCCCTGCTAAACCAAATCAAATTTCAAGGCAATATCAAAAACTATTCCAACCTAACATACACACCAGCTATGAAACGAAAAACACTTGAAGTATACAGGAAAAGAAAACTGAAACGGATGAAATAAAGTTTTTAAAAATTTAATTGGAAAAAAAAAAAAATTACAAACAAACAAACAAAAACTAAAAAGCACAACACCAGGGATGGGAAGGGTGGTAGGAGGAGAGATCTGTCGCTTACACTTCTTCGTAGTCGGCTTCCGACCCCATATCGGAGGCGTCGTCGGGGTCGGGGTGGCGACCTCTCTTGATGGCCGTAGAGTGCATGGGCTGGACGCTCATGGGGCCCGGCGTTTGAGCCTCGTAGCTCATGTCCGAGGAATCTGCGGATGTGGATGAATAACTGACGGCATGTGTGATTGTGTGCATGATTGTGCGTGTGAGAAAATGCATGCACATGCGTGCTTGTGTGTTTGTTAGATCCTGTGTGCTTGCATATGTGTTTGTCTCTGATGTGTATTTGTGTGCGTGTGTGTGAGAGTGTATTGATTGTGTGTTTGTGTTGTGTTTGATTGTCTGTGTGTTTTACTGTTTTAGTAAGAGTTTTACGGCACTTGCAACACAATAAGGTCATATCAGTGCCGAAGATTAGAGGTTAAACAAGAGAGTAACAAACACAACAAAGAAAGAGGAGAGATCAAGACGATAGACGTTTGATAGTAAAGAAGGAGAAAACCACACCAGAGCACCTGCCAACCATCCGCAATCTGGGGAAGGGGGGATACACGCGTGAGCGGATGTGTGATTGTGATAGTGCTAGTGTGTGAGAAAATGCACACAACTGTGTGAGCGTTCGTTTTATTTTGTTTTAGTAGAGGTTTTACGCCACTCACATCTGCATAAGGTCATATGAGCGCCAAGGGGTGGATATCAACAGAGAAGTCCATACAGGGAATCGGACTTACTCTGCTCACCTCTCAGGCTTCAACAGGCACAAAATCTGCTTCGACTATCAAGGCACCACGGAAAAGAGGGTCACAAGAGTGAGACAAACATACAAAAGAAGTAGAGGAAAAATGACAATAGTTTGAATAGTAAGGATAAGGAAAGACAAAGCAGCAGTTCCCTGTTGCAGTTCAGGCAGTTATGAGCACATTGACGAATCAGCCCATTTACAATTCTGCTGTGCATAAGAACATGTTAATATCTCCCCCCTTTGGAAATGGCCTAAAGACACTTCAGTCAGTAGCACTGCCCCAGGGGGTTGAAGGGATGTGTGATTGTGCGTGTGTTTGGGTGAGAAAATGCATGCACATGTTTGTGTGTTTGCTTGATCGTGTGTGCTTGCATGTGTGTTTGCTTTTGATGCGTATTTGTATTTGTGTGTGTGTGTGTGTGTGTGTGTGTATGTATGTCTGTGTGAGTGGGTATGTCTGTGTGAGTGTGTGTGTGTGTGTGTGTGTGTGTGTGTGTGTGTGTGTGTGTGTATATGTGTATGTGTATGCGTGCGTATTAATTGTGCTTTTGCGTTGTGTTCGATAGTCTCTGTGTGTGTTTAATAGTCTGTGTTTGAAAGATTGTGTGTGCTTCGAGCAGGAATGAGCATAATCTTGATAAACTTTAAGACAAAAACCCTACAGCTTTCCCACCCAATATTCATACTTTCTTTTCTGCACAAGATCCAATCCTCCTAACCCAATCCAATCTCTCTAATCTAATAGTTTTAGTTTTAGTAAGAGTTTTACGGCACTTGCAACACAATAAGGTCACACAAATGCCGAAGATTAGAGGTGTTACAAGAGAGTAACAAACACTGAAAAGAAGGCGGGGAGATAAAGACGATAGATGCTTGATAGGAAAAGAGAAGCAAACCACACCAGAGCACCCGCCAACCACCCACGATTGTGCGTGTGTGTTTTTAATTGTCCGTGTTTGAAAGAGTGTGTGTGCTTTGAGCAGGGATGGGCATAAACTTTATAACAAAAACCCTACACCCTTCACACCCAACATTCATACTTTTTTTTTTGCTGCACAAGATCTAATCCTCCTGACCCAATCAGAACACCCCCCCCCCAACGCCACTCACTGTCGTGTCGGCCTCGCTTGCCGAAGCGTTTCTGCGCGGCCTGTTTGAGAGTGATGGGGTTCCAGTCGGCCTCGCCTTGCATCAGGCTGTTGCGGTACGTGTAGAACGGCTGCCAGTCCTCGCCGCGGCTAGGCGGGATCTTCCCCTCCACCTGCTTGTCTAGGTAGTTCACACTGAAATTTTTAGTTTCTAGTTTTAGTATGTGTTATAGGGCACTTGCAACACAACAAGGTCATATAAGTGCCATAGATTAGAGGTGTTACAAGAGGGTAGCCCCAAGAACAAAGCCCCAGGACCAGATGACATCCCAGCGGAAGCCATAAGAGCTTGTGGAAAAACCGGTATACTGTGGCTGAGGCGTATTTTCAACAGAGCCTTGGAACAAAGAAAATGCCCAGAAGACTGACAGAAAGCCATTGTGGTACCTTTATGGAAAAAAAAGGGCAACAAACGCGACTGCACAACATATAGAGGCATCTCATTGTTAAGCAACTCCGGAAAAATGTATGCAAAGATACTAAAGCAGCGCATAAGACCTATTGTAGAGAGAAATCTGAGCAAAGCTCAGTTTGGATTCCGAAAGGGAAGAGGATGCATGGATGCCGTATTCGCATTACGACAGATATGCGAGAAAACAATAGAACACAACAAAGAATCCAACATCATCTTTATAGACCAGGAGAAGGCTTTTGACAGAGTAAACCATGCAAAACTCTGAAAGACACTCGAAAAGTATGGCGTCAGAGGACAATTGTTAGATAATGTCAGAGCTCTATATACCAACAGTAGAAGCTCAGTAAGAACGAAGGAAGGAAATACAGACTGGTTTAAAGTAAGATCTGGAGTATGACAGGAATGCGTTTTATCTCCTCTCCTGTATATAATATATATGGACACAATAACACAAGAAGCAAACCAAAGACCAGAAAGCCTAAATGAATTTCTGTTAGCAGACGACCAATGTCTAATTCATCATGACCAACAAAGCCTCCAAAATCACACTACCAAACTCAACAACACCTGTGAGAAATTCAACATGAAAATAAGCACATCAAAAACAGAAGTTATGAAAGTGAGCCGAAACCATAGACCCTGCACATCCATGTCAATAGTAAACAACTGAAACAGGAGAAAGAGTTTAAATATCTTGGCAGCATTTTTTCTGAAAACGGGTCCACAGACAGAGAAATAGAAATGCGAACTCAAAAAGCCAACGCTGTCACCTACCAGCTCGCACCCCTTCTATCTCATCCAAACATCTCCATGGACACAAAGAGACAGCTTATCACCTCAATATTCATACCAACATTATGTTATCAGTGCCAGCCCTGGACCTTAAGCAAAACCCATGAAAGCAAAATCACCGCATGCGAAATGAAATGTCTCTGCAAAACCCTTAACATCACAAGACGAGACAGGCAGAGAAATGAAAAAGTAAGAGCAGCTACCAGCACTGAGTCCTGCCTGCGTTACACAGAAAGACAGAGGATAAAATGGTTTGGCCACCTGTTACGCATGTCACCTGACCAGCCAGCCTCGAGAGCCTACAACACCAAGCACTCAGGCTATAAAGGAAGAGGAAGGCCACGCAAAAGGTGGATCGAGGGAGCAAGGTGGATCGAGGGAGTCAAGGAAACCCTAAGAAAACATATCATCAC